TACTATACCTGAAATAAAATATACAAATTTATTGAGCAAAACATTGTGACCACCAAGGAGCCCGGACTTAAAGCCACTGGACTTTTGTGAGACACTTTAAAAGATATAGTATACAAAAATAAGCCAAAATAAGTTTATTCAACAACAAATTGGGAATGCAAACTAACCAATTAAGTACGACCAATTATATATTAAATAGCACAAATCATTTGGAGGTAATACAAACCACTCGCAGTGTGGTGAATCGCAAATCAATGTTCATCGAATAACTTTGGATTTGTCTTTTAAAGGGACATTTAAAAATGTAATAAAATATAGGGTGTTCCATTTAAAAAATATAATTGTGTTTGACCAGAGATCTTGAAGCGCTGTGCATGCTCCTAATGCAACAGGGGGGTTATAGAAAATTTCCATGGTTTATTTGTAAATGTGATAGCCGGCAATGGACATTGGACTCAAATAGAATGGAACTCTAGAACAAGCCTTACACCTAGTAGCAAAAATGCATTAAGAGGTAGATTAGTTTACCCCAAATGGACCTACCTAAAATGGATAGTGTAATATGGTATTTTTTTCTTTAATATTTGCTTTTGTTGCAAATATTACGTGATACAAATAAATGCAAAGAATTTTTAAAATCATCCCGATTATATAAAATCAGTTTTCAAAATAAAAACATTTGAAAAAAAGTTTAATTTTGTAAACCTGTTTCATCAACGGACATAATAATACACCAGTCGAGAGCTTATTACTAATTCTAGCACCTACGTTTTTCTTACCTAACGAATAAGTGCTAATTTTGACACGCCGCGAATAGATATGGCGTAGTTCACGAAAAATCTTTCGTCAGCCGATGAAAATTGAAGGAAAATTCTTTTATCCGGGCTTTACAGGTGGAACATCGCGGAATTCTTATTTTCTTCGGAGCTTTTAGCCCGGAGGTGTCACCTGCGACTTTTATCGCAGAAAAAAACTTTTTTTTTCAGTTATTAAATTGCGTTTTCTCGAACGCGAGTAAAAGCTTTTTAATGTCGCGCATATTTTGGGGCCGTTTCAGCAGTGAAAATAGGTCCGCGAGGCCTTTAAAATCGAACCTTAACGCACGACACTGTGCCGAAAGTTCGGCTCTTAATTCCCGCTACATTTTGGAGCGGGTATGGTGTTCAATTTTCGATATTTTTGAATAATACGCAATTATTCAAAATTTGTCACATGCTTAGGTCTAAAGGAACATCTTCTGAAAGAAGTCTCTTTGAAGATATTCTTTGACAACGAATGCTCAAATTTCTCCTAAAAAATTCTTTGATATTTTTTTATAAAAATGTTTAAAAACAATTTAAAATTGTTTTCAAATATATTGGGTGATTCATAAATATATGAGAAATAGATATTCCCTTCAACACTCTATCACTCAATGTAGGGTTATTATGGTCTATACTGGGTATTTTTGGATTTATGGCCATTCAAGGAAGACCAAGTTTAGGAATAGAGAATGCTGAATCAAACTCAAAGAGCATTAATAGTAGTGATTAACAGAAGTTTAATATACAGGGTTTGATTTTTTGACTAAAATTAACAGCTGTCAATTGGTATATTATTAATTACATTTTTTATCAAATTTATAACACTGGGACTTAAAGTAGGAGTAAAATTTTCTGCTTAGACCTTTCATTTTATTGGGTTCCGCAATTGCTCTATGGAGTTAAACGTGCAATGACATGAAAGAAGACGTAACACAGTATGCCCAGCCTGGTCAGCCAAATTATAGCATACATGCTGTTTTTTAATTGCATATAAATTTAGGACTTCCAAAAGTTGTGCTTTTTTGTAACTGAACTCAAAAAAAATGTCATTTTCTAACAAATATTCCTGGATTTCAGTTTACGAACTTGATGAGGCTGGTGCTTTGCTTAGCAGACGGCGGTGGTAGCTAGTGTTATTTATGCCAATAACACTCTTTTTGGAAATATTTTTTAAAAGATTATTTTGAAAGAAGTTCGGAATGATAATTTAAGTTAGCACCTATGCAGATAACAGTACCTTTGACAACAGACCCTTTGCAGGTAACAACAAGCAGCTTGGAACAAATCCATCTTCTGACTCAGCGTGTATTTTAGTTACGCATTTTCCTTTATTTAAAGTTACTTTCGTCTGACAATTTTAAGTGGAGTCGACCCATCCTTTGGAGGTAATGTCGTGTGTATCGAACCATGTTTCATCAAGGTAAATTATGGATGAAATCTCCAAGTGCGTAATCTGTATGATTCCATTACTAGTTGCCTTTTGTCTATTTTGAGGTACTTAAATAACACTTTCCAAACAACTGTATGGAGGGTGGCACGTCTTATATTTATATTGGTTTCATATTCTTCTAGCTTCTTTTTCAGTTGATCCAAGGTAGGTTCAACTTCGCTTTGATAAAGACAATTAATTTTCCTTCTTACTAGGTTCTGACCACTATTGTCTATAGGTGACTTTGAAAATCACTACGTTTATTCCTTGTCTTCAATTCTCCTCTATTGATAATATTCCTTATCGACGATATTGGCGTTACTATAAGTAGACAGCTTTCTTTTAAAGTTTCTTGAAAAATAAGTCCTCTACCGATTAAAGTTTCATACACGTTTTTCACAACCTGTTTTGCATCAACCGACAAATGATTTCGACACGACATTTTTATATTCTCGTAAAATAACTTTTTCGAAACGCACAGCACAAACGATTATTCAACAATGCCACAAATGGTCAACCTGATTTTTTTTCATGGTGCCTTAACTGGTGCACTATATTTACAATTCCTGAGATATGAAATTGAAGGCTCTTTAGATGATTTACCTCTTGCCGTAACATCAAATATGTATTTTTAGCAGCGCACCCCTCAAAATGAGCTCCTACGTGATATTTATGAGGATAGACTAATCTCATCACACGGTCCAGTCAATTGACCCCCACGGTCGCCGGACTTGACACCGTTTGATTTTTTTGCATGGGGGTACGTAAACGACCGTGTTTATTTAACTCCAGTGTTCCACCTCCAAGAATTACAGCAGAGAATATCGGCTGCATTTTATAGTAGAACTCCAGAAATGTTAGGAAGGGTTACAGCGAATGTAATTTCTAGAGCCAGGGAGTGTCGTATAAGAAGGAGGACATTTTGAAAACATATTAAGTAAATATCTATCGCACTTATTTAATTAAAATAAATAGAAAACTCAAGTTCCAAAATAAATGAATGTGATGTTTTGTGTCAATGTAAAACAACACACGTTGTTATACGACATTGTTGGGGTTTTATTTTTTAACAGATTTTTAAAATATTTTGATGAATTGTCCCAAAAAGTGACAGATTTGAAAAGAAAAATATATATTTCTATTCTCTTGTTCTCCTGAGTTTCCGGTAAAAAGTGCTTGTAGCTTACGGCGTACGTATACATACAATACTTAGGTTAGTTTTTGATTGTATCTCCGTATTCCAAAAGCATATTAACTTATAGCATAATAAAACACTTTCAACAAAGATTTCTAATCGTTAAATCTCAGAAGAAACTCTCCTTTCAATTTTATTTTCTTTAAATGCTAATCTGTTTTTTTCTTTCCACTACATGAACTTGTGGAGAGTTTCTTCTGCATGTTTAATCTTGCCGACTTGACAATTAATTGAACTGAGGTGGCTTTTACTTGATGAAAATCCATTTATCAAAATAAATGAGAACTAAAAGTTCAGATTTTCACGAAATTATATATATTCACGTCACAATTGTTTCGATCACACCGTGTCTTTATCAAATGTCATGCGAATATATATAATTTCGCAAAAATCTGAACTTATGGTTCTTACTTATAATTTATATAAGCAAAGCAACCTAAGTAATATTTTGTTTTCATAAAAATGTCTGTTTTTTTGCTTCCTGTGAGTTTATTTTTTAACGGATTTTGACAATTTTGCATTTAATGCTACAATATTGTAGTGAAAAATAAAAATACAAAAGTATGAAATCCTAGAATATGAATGAATCATTTACAAAACTTTTAGAGTATGACGCAAGACAATACTAAAAGCTATTCTTACAATAAAATCGTGATAACTACCACAACTTGTTAGAAAGTTTTCTATATTATTCTTACTTATTATCGAAAATATATGATAATTGACCGTACAAAATAGAGAATATAGCTACACAAATTAGGATGTTTTCTTTTACACAATGGTAAGTAAAGTTTACACACATGTGTGATAAATTTTGGCAAATTGCGAATAATTATTAAAACTAAATTTTCACATTTTTGTGGAATTAAATGAAATAAATTGTTATCGTCCCTATCTCTACTTCCTTTTGTAGAAATTAAACTCTACAATTAGTGTGTTTGTTTTTTTTTTTTCAGTGTATTTCTAATAGCTACGATGTATATACGGATGTGTATTTTGTTGACAATTATGGCGTTCTTGCTGTGGTTACATAGAAGAGCCCAATTTGCGAATGTCGCTACTTTTGCATTAACAACTTATAATGTAAATATTTTGACTTTTATTAAAGACAGTTTATTATTATTTTTTTTAAATAAGAAACCCGTTCCTTTTTTTAATGTTATAAGTAACTTCTTTTAGAGACCCGCCAAATTCCGGCAATGTTTTGAGGTTAAGAACAAGCTTTTGAATCTGCTTCCACGGGCGCTTTCAACTTAATTTATTCAACAAATCGAAAAACACCGTTTTCCTTAAATAAACCGAAGGTTACGGTTGTCGGAAACTAAAAAACCGGCCCTAGCAATATTTCGAGTCCGGATCACGGATCACGGGTCTCCCCCGAGTCCTAGAGCGGCTCGAAGTGGAAGACACGCGCGTAAAAACACGCACAAAGGGACGCGGCGTCGCGACGCCCCCGCAAACTTGGCCGTCGGGACGCGTCGGCGTCGTTTCCCGGACGACGGCGAGCGAGGAGGGGGGGGTAAACGTATGATACGTCGCGTCGAAGAAAATTTGCCGTCAGTGTGACGGGAAATTTGGCGTTTCGTACGCGCTCGGAACTCCTCAGACACGGTGGGAAACTCGCACCTGGCGCAAAGTTTTCAAACACTTTTCGGGCGACGGGAAAGCCTATTCGATTCGCTTTTCGGCACCCGGGGGTTTGGGAGAGTGCGGTTCGTCTCCGGGCGGGAAAGTGGACCGCAATGTTTTGAGTTTTCGACGCATCGCATTTCGTAAGTTGATGGCCGTTGTTGTCGTTTTGTTTTTCGTATTTGTGTCGAGTGGCGTTGACTTTTAAGAAGGAGGGCACGGAGATTTTAAAATACCGAGTAAGTTTCAATCGAATTGTTCAACTATGCCGCAAACCGATCGATTCGCAGGTTTCTAAACATAAGTATCTGAAAACAGGGAGAAAAGATGTAATAATAATAATCTCTGTTCGAAATATCGAATTTTCTCGAAAAATATCCAATATATTTATTGCCTTCAATTTTCGTCAAAACCAAGGGCAAAAACTCGGTATAATACAAAAAAAGTTGATCAACTGAAAGAAAGTTGGCTAATTAGAATAAAAATAAGGTGAGTGTATAAAACAACACTAACAAACAAAACAGTAAAAATAAACCAACCAACCAAACCAATTCAAAAAACAAAATAATGCAAAATCAATTTCATTGAAAAAAGTGTTTAAAATAACCTAACGTACAAAACTATTAATTATTAATAAAGACGAGAAACCGAAAAAAGATGGAAATGTATAAAACTACAGAATTAAAGACATAAAAAGATTAAAATATCGATGACTTCTTATTTGTCAATTTAACAAAAAAGCTTCAAACTGTTTGAGTGTGTAGAATTATCGATGAATACAGTTTTAATTTAAATGGTAGTAGGTTAAATAAATCACTACCCAAATAAAAAGAGGTTTGTTGTTAATATATTTAAAATATTAAAATATTTTTTTGGAAATAAATACATTATAGAATGTTTTGGAAATTACCAAGGGCGACGCTGCCAGATTTACAAATAAAATTACCGACATTAAAGTGTTTGAAAAGAAAAACGGATACACTAAATTTAACTATTTATTATACGTAAACTAACGAAAGATTTTAGTTCTATGTAAATGTTATTGAATTTTGCTTATTATATGAAAAATATTGTTAAAATATTATGTAGTAATTATTAAACAGTTTTTTTTTAAGTAAGTAAAGTAAATAATATATACATTGTATTCCGGTAGCCTCCCAAAACGAACAGTCAATATTAAGGAAACGTAGAACCACAAATATAAACTTATAAAAAACTTTCATCTTTATGAAATAAAGTATTTTTAAAAATTCACGTGGCCATACATGTACAGCTAAAAGTTTTACCTATTGTACAGGGTGTTCCCGATATTTCGTGCAATATTGAAAAACGTGTCTAAAATTTGCAGCTTGGGACTTCATTTGGTAGCTTGTAAAAAGTCAACACCCACATTTAAACTCTTAAAGTTGCACGCAATCTGATTTCGCAAAGTTTTTTTTTTTAATTTTTGCAAGTTATTTTTGCTCGGCAAAAATGTTTTTCTCGGAAATTGTTAACCCGACCATTAAATTATTTACAGGGCAAAAAACCCGAAAAATCCTGAAAATTTCCGTAAGCCGTAAATTAAAAACGGAAAAAAGAGGGTAAACTTTGATTTAAGCAGTATTGGAAACTGTTGCGCCAGATATTTGAAAAAAAAAAAGTTTGCCGTAACTTTGAGGTTCGGCTAGACATAAAAGGCACTTACAAATTACATCAATTTTACGAAAGTACCATAGTGGTCCGCAGGAACAATGGTTGCCTCTAGGACAAGAAAACCCGAAGGGACTTCTTTAAAATACAAAGCCGCTTCGCGCTACGCATTTGCCCCACGCATCGACGAGATTTAGAAGGCAATCTGGTAATGCAGGCAGCACCACTTTTCGTTGCAATCATTAGGCCAAAGCTAATTTATTTGCGAAAGCAAACCGGACGTTAGATTTGTGAAAAGCGTGGCAACTTTATACATTTAGTACCATTTACATCCAAATTTCGCGCTAAATATCATAGGGCCAAAACTAGGCTAGTCGTATGACCTAGTGACACAATTGCTTAGATAGCTCTACGAAACACATGATACAACATATCGATATGAGTATATCGATTTTCGGTGTTTTTATGACGAACACAATATGGTCATTATTAAACACGAAAACACGCTTTACATTTATTTATCCTTCCATGTCGAACGTCCATTATTCTGAAGATAATTAGGAATATTGTCGTTCTCTTTAATGGATTTTCGATAATTGCGGGTATTTATTTAAAGTGTGACTTGCTAAGCAGCTGCACAATAGTTTAATTAAATTATTATCGCACGGTTGCCGGCCTGATTATTTTAAGGTGGAGATTTTTGGTGCAAAAAATGAAAATTCAAAACACTTCATTTTTTTCATATTATTTATTAAAATGGTTTCTTTTTTCAATTAAAGGTTCGACCTAACCAAGTATATTTTTGTTTCTACTTAAGGTCCAGAGTAATAGTAGTAATTACAATAGACATCCTTTATTAGTTTAGACAATAGTATTTTTTTTTATTTATTTATTTATTTGGCAACATTAACAAATCACAAAGTTGACTTAAACTTGTAATGATAATAATATTAATATTTGTAATGATATTAATATATATATATATATATATATATATATATATATATATATATATATATATATATATATATATATATATATATATATATATATATATATATATATATATATATATATATATATATATATATATATATATATATATATATATATATATATATATATATATATATATATATATATATATATATATATATATATGTTCGAAGTGTTTTCGGAGCGCGAGCATTGAAGATGCCAAGTGAGATTTTGGCGAAACGTCTGCAGGATTCCAGTCGGATGCAAGATTTGCAGGATTCCAGTCGGATGCAGGATTCCAGTCGGAGTTCAACGAGCGAACGGATGATATCCCGGAATATAGTGTCATCATATATATATATATATATATATATATATATATATATATATATATATATATATATATATATATATATATATATATATATATATATATATATATATATATATATATATATATATATATATATATATATATATATAATTATAATTAAAAAAATGTCATTAAAAACTGAAAAAGGTTCGAATTTGAGCAAAAAACTTAAAGTTGTTTAACAACAAAAAATCAACAATGATAATATTCTAAACTTAAATAATTTCGGTTTGCACAATGGATTCACAAGAATCTGTGTGTGCAACCTAGTATGCAGAGATATTACTAGTTATTACATAAGGTTTGTACTCTCAAACAGTTGGAAGAAAATATATCACACATATAAATAAATAGTTTACAAGGAAATTTTATATATTATTTTATATATTATATATATTATAGTATATTATGCAACATGTGCGGTAAACGGCATTTGACTCACCAGTTTATTTGAAACGAGCGGAGCGAGTGTTTAATAAACGAGTGAGTTAAAAAGTTTACGGAACGTGTTTCATACAATACTTTTTCTATGACCGTTAATTTTCGCATAATAACACGCATACATTCACTGACATGAACTGTCAGAATTGACAAACGTCAAAATTCAAAGCGTGGAAAATATCTCCGAAAACATTCGATTGCTCCCAAACCCGGTAAAATCCCGGAAATATCCGAAGTGGCTCGGATTCGTGGGAAACGAAACTGACGTGGTAAAGCGACGCTTCCCGCACGCTAGACCGGTGCGTAATTAGGTATTTTACAGAGGGAGTAGAAAAAATCTATTAAGTACTTGATTCAACATTGTTGCTAGCAAGCAACCACGTAGACCTAGAGCAAACAAGTAGTCCCAGATATATGCGATCCTTATATATACATTAATCAACTGAATTAATATAGAATAAATATGTTGTAGCTATGCCAAAAAAAGCTAGTTAATACATATAATATAAAAGCCTACAAACAAAATAAAGACAAAATATTGAAAAATAAATATTAAAAATTAACAAAGAAAAATCTGTGTTGTCAAAAATGTGTTGCCTAAGTTTTTGTTTGAAAGTAGTTAGGGAGTTGGAGCGGTAGTGGTAGCAGTAAATGAAATATTTCAGGAGTTTTTTTTTCAAGGCTTTAAATACACCAATATTTTCTAATCATTGAGAAAGGGAATTTTTTTTATGAATTTATTCATTTACTTATTCATAAATTGTTCATTTTTAAATGATACGCATCAAAATACATTCATATGTCATATAAATGATAAAATAAAAGTATCTCCAGTCGTCTTCAGGTGCATACCTGAAAACGACTGGAGGTACATGATTAGACAAAACGTGGAAGTAAATAATAAAGAAAATGACAGTTCAAAAAATCAACGATTTTCTTTTATGAAAAATCTATCGCTCATTTACTCATAACTGCGTCAAAACAGGCAAACGACCTATTTAAAAATATATTTTTCTACTCCCGTCTGTAAAATACCTAATTACCCACCTATCTAGCGTCACTTTACCACGTCAGTTTCGTTTTCTATGAATCCGAGCCGCTTCGAACATTTCCGGGATTTTACCGCACGGATTTTAGAGCAATCGGATGTTTTCGGAGATTTTATCGCACGCTTTGAATTTTGTCAATTCTGACGGTCATGCCAGTGAATTTATTCGTTTTGTTTTGCGAAAATGTACCCAAAAACTAACAGTCGTAGTAAAAGTATAGTATGCAACACGTTCGGTAAACTTTTTAACCGCTTACCGCACTTTTTGCATAATATACCATTCTGAATTTGTTTTTTGTAGAATATTTTCACAATACAATGTACAAAAAAGCAATATACATATAGATTTTTAAAGGAAATTGAATGTTCCATAAATCTGCTGATTTTCGAAAATATTTGAGGGTATAGTATCCGATTATGTCACCCCTCAATTTAAAAACGTTATTATAACCGAACAGCATGGTTTTGTCAAGGGAAGGTCAACTGTTTCGAACCTCCTGAGCTATAAGCGTTCGCTGTTTAGGGCCTTTGAGAATGGGATCAGGTAGATGCTATATATACTGACTTCTCCAAGGCCTTCGACGGGGTTGATCATGGCATTCTGGTGGGGAAGCTCTCAGGGATTGGAATCTTTGGAGACCTTCTAAATTGGTTTCGCAGTTATATCACTAACCGAAAGCAATCAGTTAAGGTTAAAAGTTACATTTCGTCAGAGACTGTTGTGACGTCTGGTGTCCCACATGAGGGACCCCTTTCCACATTCCTTT